AATCTTACCCCAAGATTCGTCGCTAGACATGGTTCTAAACTTCTGAGTCCCATAACTTGGCCAAATCTCATCCGATTTTTACGAGGTTGGGCTTTTTGTTCATGGTTTTCCTTCTAGATTAATCTGGCATTAAAATCTGAACACCGATTTTTTGGTCGAAATTCATGTCAAAATCTTACCCCAAGATTCGTCTCTAGACATGGTTCTAAACTTCTGAGTCCCATAACTTGGCCAAATCTCATCCGATTTTTACGAGGTTGGGCGTTTTGTTCATGGTTTTCCTTTTAGATTAATCTGGCATTAAAATCTGAACACCGATTTTTTGGTCGAAATTCATGTCAAAATCTTACCCCAAGATTCGTCTCTAGACATGGTTCTAAACTTCTGAGTCCCATAACTTGGCCAAATCTCATCCGATTTTTACGAGGTTGGGCTTTTTGTTCATGGTTTTCCTTTTAGATTAATCTGGCATTAAAATCTGAACACCGATTTTTTGGTCGAAATTCATGTCAAAATCTTACCCCAAGATTCGTCTCTAGACATGGTTCTAAACTTCTCAGTCCCATAACTCGGCCAAATCTCATCCGATTTTTACGAGGTTGGGCTTTTTGTTCATGGTTTTCCTTCTAGATTAATCTGGCATTAAAATCTGAACACCGATTTTTTGGTCGAAATTCATGTTAAAATCTTACCCCAAGATGCGTCTCTAGACATGGTTCTAAACTTCTCAGTCCCATAACTCGGCCAAATCTCATCCGATTTTTACGAGGTTGGGCTTTTTGTTCATGGTTTTCCTTCTAAATTAATCTGGCATTAAAATCTGAACACCGATTTTTTGGTCGAAATTCATGTCAAAATCTTACCCCAAGATTCATCTCTAGACATGGTTCTAAACTTCTCAGTCCCATAACTTGGCCAAATCTCATCCGATTTTTACGAGGTTGGGCTTTTTGTTCATGGTTTTCCTTCTAGATTAATCTGGCATTCAAATCTGAACACCGATTTTTTGGTCGAAATTCATGTCAAAATCTTACCCCAAGATTCGTCTCTAGACATGGTTCTAAACTTCTCAGTCCCATAACTCGGCCAAATCTCATCCGAGTTTTACGAGGTTGGGCTTTTTGTTCATGGTTTTCCTTCTAGATTAATCTGGCATTAAAATCTGAACACCGATTTTTTGGTCGAAATTCATGTCAAAATCTTACCCCTAAATTCGTCTCTAGACATGGTTCTAAACTTTTCAGTCCCATAACTTGGCCAAATCTCATCCGATTTTTACGAAGTTGGGCTTTTTGTTCATGGTTTTCCTTCTAGATTAATCTGGCATTAAAATCTGAACACCGATTTTCTGGTCGAAATTCATGTCAAAATCTTACCCCAAGATTCGTCTCTAGACATGGTTCTAAACTTCTCAGTCCCATAACTTGGCCAAATCTCATCCGATTTTTACGAAGTTGGGCTTTTTGTTCATGGGTTTCCTTCTAGATTAATCTGGCATTAAAATCTGAACACCGATTTTTTGGTCGAAATTCATGTCAAAATCTTACCCCAAGATTCGTCTCTAGACATGGTTCTAAACTTCTCAGTCCCATAACTCGGCCAAATCTCATCCGATTTTTACGAGGTTGGGCTTTTTGTTCATGGTTTTCCTTCTAGATTAATCTGGCATTAAAATCTGAACACCGATTTTTTGGTCGAAATTCATGTCAAAATCTTACCCCAAGATTCGTCTCTAGACATGGTTCTAAACTTCTCAGTCCCATAACTCGGCCAAATCTCATCCGATTTTTACGAGGTTGGGCTTTTTGTTCATGGTTTTCCTTCTAGATTAATCTGGCATTAAAATCTGAACACCGATTTTTTGGTCAAAATTCATGTCAAAATCTTACCCCAAGATGCGTCTCTAGACATGGTTCTAAACTTCTCAGTCCCATAACTCGGCCAAATCTCATCCGATTTTTACGAGGTTGGGCTTTTTGTTCATGGTTTTCCTTCTAGATTAATCTGGCATTCAAATCTGAACACCGATTTTTTGGTCGAAATTCATGTCAAAATCTTACCCCAAGATTCGTCTCTAGACATGGTTCTAAGCTTCTGAGTCCCATAACTCGGCCAAATCTCATCCGATTTTTACGAGGTTGGGCTTTTTGTTCATGATTTTCCTTCTAGATTAATCTGGCATTAAAATCTGAACACCGATTTTTTGGTCGAAATTCATGTCAAAATCTTACCCCTAAATTCGTCTCTAGACATGGTTCTAAACTTCTCAGTCCCATAACTTGGCCAAATCTCATCCGATTTTTACGAAGTTGGGCTTTTTGTTCATGGTTTTCCTTCTAGATTAATCTGGCATTAAAATCTGAACACCGATTTTTTGGTCGAAATTCATGTCAAAATCTTACCCCAAGATGCGTCTCTAGACATGGTTCTAAACTTCTCAGTCCCATAACTCGGCCAAATCTCATCCGATTTTTACGAGGTTGGGCTTTTTGTTCATGGTTTTCCTTCTAGATTAATCTGGCATTAAAATCTGAACACCGATTTTTTGGTCGAAATTCATGTCAAAATCTTACCCCTAAATTCGTCTCTAGACATGGTTCTAAACTTCTCAGTCCCATAACTTGGCCAAATCTCATCCGATTTTTACGAAGTTGGGCTTTTTGTTCATGGTTTTCCTTCTAGATTAATCTGGCATTAAAATCTGAACACCGATTTTTTGGTCGAAATTCATGTCAAAATCTTACCCCTAAATTCGTCTCTAGACATGGTTCTAAACTTCTCAGTCCCATAACTTGGCCAAATCTCATCCGATTTTTACGAAGTTGGGCTTTTTGTTCATGGTTTTCCTTCTAGATTAATCTGGCATTAAAATCTGAACACCGATTTTTTGGTCGAAATTCATGTCAAAATCTTACCCCAAGATTCGTCTCTAGACATGGTTCTAAATTTCTCAGTCCCATAACTTGGCCAAATCTCATCTGACTTTTACGAGGTTGGGCTTTTTGTTCATGGTTTCCCTTCTAGATTAATCTGGCATTAAAATCTGAACACCGATTTTTTGGTCGAAATTCATGTCAAAATCTTACCCCAAGATTCGTCTCTAGACATGGTTCTAAGCTTCTCAGTCCCATAACTCGGCCAAATCTCATCCGATTTTTACGAGGTTGGGCTTTTTGTTCATGGTTTTCCTTCTAGATTAATCTGGCATTAAAATGTGAACACCGATTTTTTGGTCGAAATTCATGTCAAAATCTTACCCCAAGATTCGTCTCTAGACATGGTTCTAAACTTCTCAGTCCCATAACTCGGCCAAATCTCATCCGATTTTTACGAGGTTGGGCTTTTTGTTCATGGTTTTCCTTCTAGATTAATCTGGCATTAAAATCTGAACACCGATTTTTTGGTCGAAATTCATGTCAAAATCTTACCCCAAGATTCGTCTCTAGACATGGTTCTAAACTTCTCAGTCCCATAACTCGGCCAAATCTCATCCGATTTTTACGAGGTTGGGCTTTTTGTTCATGGTTTTCCTTCTAGATTAATCTGGCATTAAAATCTGAACACCGATTTTTTGGTCGAAATTCATGTCAAAATCTTACCCCAAGATTCGTCTCTAGACATGGTTCTAAACTTCTCAGTCCCATAACTCGGCCAAATCTCATCCGATTTTTACGAGGTTGGACTTTTTGTTCATGGTTTTCCTTCTAGATTAATCTGGCATTAAAATCTGAACACCGATTTTTTGGTCGAAATTCATGTCAAAATCTTACCCCAAGATTCGTCTCTAGACATGGTTCTAAACTTCTGAGTCCCATAACTTGGCCAAATCTCATCTGATTTTTACGAGGTTGGGCTTTTTGTTCATGGTTTCCCTTCTAGATTAATCTGGCATTAAAATCTGAACACCGATTTTTTGGTCGAAATTCATGTCAAAATCTTACCCCAAGATTCGTCTCTAGACATGGTTCTAAACTTCTGAGTCCCATAACTTGGCCAAATCTCATCCGATTTTTACGAGGTTGGGCTTTTTGTTCATGGTTTTCCTTCTAGATTAATCTGGCATTAAAATCTGAACACCGATTTTTTGGTCGAAATTCATGTCAAAATCTTGCCCCAAGCAGATAAATTGAAGAAAATATCAAATAGTAAATTATAAATAGCTTATTTTTTTAAAATTAATTCTCACATTTTTTGATAGAAAAACCTTTAAATGAAATTATTTGCTTCGATTTAAAACGAATTTCCACTTTTTATTCAACATTGACAACTCTACAAAAAACTCGTTAAATTCAAAAGTCTGCGTTAGCAACATTTCAGTTGCTGCTGGCAACACGCGTTGCTGTTGCGCCGGCTGCTCAACAGGTGAGCACAGGTGAGAGGCAGACGGCCAAACGAGAAGCGGAACAAAAAAAAAACAACAATGCGCGCTGCGCTTTTTGTTTATGAATGAAAAGCGCAAAAGTAAACCATGATAAATGTGTGTGCACGAGCAAAATCGAGCAACAACAAGTTGCCAGATCGGGATCGCCAGACTGCGAGAGAGAGAGCGAGGGACAGAGAGAGAGAGAGAGTGCAAGAGAGAGAGAGAGCCGACTGGCCCGTTCGGCAGCAGGCAGCAGGCAGCCTTAGCTCTGGGCAACTGGCAACTGGTGCTGGCAGTTCAGTCTACGTTTTGGCCTAAACGCGTTTGCTTGGACTTGGCCAGCGCGCATGAGCCGTCGGTTAGTCTGCGCTGTTTACCCTCTCTCTCTCCAACAGTGTGTGTGTGTGTGTGTGTTAACAAAATGTGATTAGCAAAAATACAAAAGAAGAAAAGAAGGCAACGCAATATAAAAGCATTGTGGCAAAAAGAACAGAAAGCGCAAAAAGTGTGTTAAAAATAACAAAAACGCAACGAAAACAAAACAATTTTCGCTTCATTTTATATTTTTGTTATTTGCATAAATACATACAAAACATACACATAAAAGCCATACAAATATATTGTTAACAGCAATGCTGAATTTTTTGCTTTATCGGCAACGGCAGCAGCAACAATAAAATTCATATTGAACTACACCCAAAAGCCAACGGCGGCAACAACAACAACAATAACGGCGCAACGGCGGCTGTGCGGCTGACTTGGCCGACAGCTCACCAACAGCAGCAGCAACAACAACAACAACAACAACAACAACCAAAGCCGTCGTCTACCTTTTTCGTGCCTTTTCAAGTGTTTTTCATAGCTGCGCTGCGCCCCCCCGCTCAGCAGAGCATAGAGCCAGCGAGCGAGCGAGAGGGAAAGAGAGAGGGAGAGAGAGAGAGTTAGTGTGTGCGAGTGAGAGCGCGTATCTGGTTTGGCGCTGTATTCAGTCTCGGCTTCGACCAGTTTCAGCTCCCTGATATGAACCAGCTGTGTCTGCCTGGGCCCGCAATACATGCACAGACACACACACACGCACACACATATATGTATATATATATATGTATATCGTCGACAGAGTATGCAATTTTGGTAAGTCCAACGTTTACCGTTAAAGCGATCTCCGCTTAGAGACGCCACAAAGCCGCAGCTTATCTACCTGTTCGATGGCTAATTAAAAACGCGCATTATAAATATGTGCCAAAGTGTTTTAGGATTTCTGTTGTGCGACTTTTTCTATACCTCGTTTTCTTTTCACTCCTTTTTTCAGTTTTATGTGCTGCTGCTGTTGCTGTTGTTGCGCTAATTCGCAGCATTTTATTTGCGGCTCTTTTCATTAATAAGTTTCACGCGCCGCTCATTTTTCAACACGTCGTCCCCACGCCCCTTAAAGCCCATAAGACCCCGCCGTGTACCTATCCCCCCTGCTTAGCTTGTGTCTGGCTCGGATTACCGTGTTGATGTTGTATTTACTTATGTATAACCGTGTCCACATACACACACACATACATACACAGGGGTATATCTGTGTTGGGCGGATAACATAAATTCGGTGATTTTTTTTTAATGCTAATTTCTTCTTACTTGGGTTCTCACGCTGCGGCTTAATAAATTTGCCAAACAATTTGTATGGACAGCTGTGTTTAGGTAGGCGACATGGTTAAACTAAGTAAAGGTAAGAGGGGGTAAATAAACTGGGCTTAAAATTTATATTTCAAATGTAATTGCAATGTTAGTTGATAAAGAGCCGATATTTGATTAGATAAAGATAAAGGTCTCTGAAAAATGGGCTCGAATCTGATTGGATTTAGCCAAAAAGCTTAATGCAACCATTTTCCTAAGTTGTTCCACAATTGCGAGTGGAATTTTCCAAGATCTAGCTCAAGACAAAAGGCTGTATATGTATAAATATGTACAAATAAACCCATTGAAGCTGTGACATTTAGTACATATTAATCCCAAAAGTACACATGCCTGACAAGGCTTAGAGTATGTTTGACAAAGCTGCTGAATTTAGCGAATGCAACCTACATATATTCGATTCTCTGGAAGAATCTATTACCTAGCTGCGACAATGACAGTCTCTGCGCCTGCGTAGGGTGGCCATAAACCAAAGCCAGACCGCAAAACAAGTTTCTGCCAGACAAAACAACAACAACAACAACAATAAAAGCAGCAGCAACAACAACAACAGCTCGCCTAACAAAAGCTAAGACAAGAAGAAAACTTAAGCTATGACTGTGACTCGAGTCGAGCAGCTCAATGGCTGCTCGGAGACTGCGACTTGCAACTTGCATCTTGGCCAGTTGCACGACACTTGACGCTCCCTAAGGCCAGGTATTTGCAACAACAGCAGCAACAACTGCAAATAACTGTGACCAGGAATGCGCAAACAAGAACAAAACACTTGCCTTGCCTTGACTTGGCTTGGCTTGCACGCAATGCGAGTACAAATCGAAATATTGGCATTGCAAGTGCAATACGTATACGCACCGTGTGTCGAATGGTTTATTACGTTCGTCATCTGAGACTGCCTGGGGATAGGGAGGGGGGGGGGGGGGGCAGCTGGGCTGACGATCGTATAACCAAAGCCTTGTCACTTGGCTGCCCACTTGCCAGTTTGGGGTTACCATCTCCTTCTCTCTCTCTCACTCTCTATCTCTCTCTCTCTCTCTTTCCCACTTTGTATATCTATCTACAGCTCGGATCGCATCATCCATGCAAATTGAGTCATTTGCACATGGTCCAAAAATGTCAACTGGTTCTCATGCTGTTCACGTTGCTGAACTCTGTCATTGCGGTCCAGGCAAGCCGAAACTCAGAATTTGTGTCCAGCGATCTATGTGATTTGTTGTTCAGCTTCTCTCCGAGGCAACACTACAAAATCCGTTTCTACGCCTGCTCCATGTTGCCCTGTCTTTTCAGAGGGTATTATAATGTTGTCTTTAAATTTGTAACGCTTAGAAGAAGCTGTCTCTGAGAGCGTAATTTTTATATGTTTCTGAGCAATATCGATAGTATTCTCTTGCTCCTTGCATGTGACTACGATATCATAAACCTCTTTAGGAGGAGGGGGAGTAGCAATATTTTGTTGTTTTTCGAAAGATCTTCAACAAGCTCAGCATATTAATCTTCATCTTGCTCCTAACATAAACAGTATCAAATCGAACTACTATATAATATAGTTTCTGTAGGAACTGGGCGTTGAAATTGTAGCTTTTATATAAGAGCACTTCTAAAACAGCGGTCTCCAAGAGTATTTCATCTTCGGTGTGCAAAAGTTAGCTGTTCTTCCTGCTGTATTTGTATTTGTACGGACTGACTGGCTGGCTAACTGGCTGGCTGGCTGGTTGGCTGGCTGGGCTGGCTGGCTGGCTGGCTGGCTGGGCTGGCTGGTTGTGTATTAACCTGCCGCACCGGTTTCGGTTTATGTTTTAGCCAACGCCATCATCATCATCATCCATTACTTATACTTATATATACGTGTATTTCTATTTCTCTTTTAATTTTCTCTCGAGCGCGCGCAAAGTTGTTGTTGTTGCTGCGACTTGTTGCTGCCTCTTTATTTATTTTTTAACCAGTTTCTTTGCTGCAACCTGAGCGCGAATGAGCCATAAATAACAACAAACACACACAATAATACAACAACAACAAAGTGCTGCGACTGTCCCGGTTTCCAGGAAGCGAATGTCCGTCCCGCTTGTCGCCGTCTGCGTCTGCAATTCGCGTGCAGAGCTCTTTGGCTGTTGGCTGTTGCCTGGTCGACTGGCTGGCTGGCTGACTGGCTGGCTGGCTGACTGATCATGCCCAGGCCTCTATGGATTATGCAACTTTTGGTTTTTATTTGAAAATTTAATAATCCGCAGCGCGTTGGCGTCGCTTCCTTGATGGCTGCAGCCATAGCTCACAAGCAGATAGAGAAAGAGACGGAGCGTGAGACAGCGTCAATCATGACGTGTAGCTTTTCAGCGCCCACAAAGCAAATTCCATTGTGTGAGCCGTCTTAAGGCTTAAGTCTTAATCCCAACAGCCCAAGCAAAAACCCACCTCGCTGTGGAATTCTGCGCATCTAATCAAAATCTAATTCGCAGGCAAGCAAAGTGCATTCCACACTTGGCCGAGAATCATTTGGCTTCAACTTTTTGTCGTTCACCTTAAACGAGTGTCGGCCGTCGAGAGGTCTGTCATATCAGAGCAAACAATTGCCATGTGTTTATTTGCACCGAACACTTTGCAAAGAGTTCTCAGTTCTCGGCTCTCAGTTCCCAGTTCCCAGTTGAGCAGCCAGTCAGGGAATCCCCGCACGAAACAGAACACAAATATTCAAAACGCAAACGCGATTTTCATTACCTTCTGCGGAATTACTGCATGTGCAAAATCTGCCGAATCAGTTGAATATACAAGCCAATACATGTGCATATATCTGTGAATATATATATATGTATATAGATCATATATGCATGGTCAGTACAGTTAGCCTTGACCAACAGCGGGAGTATAAACTTCTTGAGAGATTTCGAAGAGCTGGGAAATATATATGTACATATGTATATACCCCATAAGTATGACGGCAAGTGTAAAGTTTGTGTTTATTTGAAACCCACTAAAAGGTCAGTTACAATGCCCATAAACCCCCAGCTGATAAGCGTTATTTGTGATAAGAACTTGTGGGCCGTTGCAGATGTTTAATATCATTTATAGTTATGGCGACTTTTTTGCGGCAATAACTGGTTTATATTCCAATTTGTCGAGAAACCCAACCACAACATAGGAAATCCAGTCAAATGGGAAAAACAAGAAAAGGCAGAAAGGGTGTAACTGACTTTGTAATACCCAATCCCATTTGAACGTAAACTAAAATATGGAGTATAGCAGTAATCCAATATACTCTGCTTGAATTTTGTTGACGAGTGTAAATGGAATTTTTGGCGAGACAAGCACTGGTCGAGTGTATGCAACAAGTATTTGGTGGCCAAAGAGTATATCTATTTATATATATAGTCAGCAGAGTCAACTGCATCTAGCCAGACGCTTGGCTGGAAGTGGGAGCGGAAGAGAAGAAAGCGAGTGATAGAGAAAGAGAGACAGAGAGAAGTAGAGAGGGCAAGTGAATGCAAAAAGTTATTGCAGCAAATATTTAGTCAAGTGGAGAAATGCTGGGTTGCATTTGACTTGGCTGTGTTTAGGCGAGCTCCCTTTGCTCACCCTTTACCCAACCCATGCCCATTCCCAGTGCCAGGCGATAAGATAAAAAATCGCTGCGAGCGGCGCCTGAACTCTGGCACAGCGCCAAAACGCGAAGCTGGCAATGAAAATGCGCTGCCATCGAAATGCCTAAGCAAATACACAGCAGAGTGGCAAGCTAATTTCCAAAAGTGCCATCCCATTGCAGGCTGCCCAAGGCAATGATTGACTAGACCCGTGGAAGACGAGGCCACGACGCTTTCGAGATGCACGAGCTGTTTACAAAAGTGCTCGCCAAGCGCGATCTGTCCCGAGCCGGGGACTTGTTCTCGGTGCCCGATGCGGACATTGTCAATGACATAACGGAGGTGGTGAGTCCCGCCGAGCCGGGCAATCTTATCCAATCTCTCATTGCCACATTTATTTACAGCTGTCCGAAATCAATCCCATCATCTCGCATGCGGACTACGTGAAGAACAACAATGATCAGAGCGTGGTGGAGATCTGTGTCACACGGGTCCTCTCCTGCATACGGGAGACACGCAGCGCCGAACGTTATTGCGCAGCTCTGGTGGATCTGTTGAAGACGTGTCTGCTGTGGAATCTACAGCCGGTGGCTGCCACCAAGGAGGAGCCGCCACATGCCAAGATCGCCGCAGACATTGTATCTAGCATATTTTTAGTGAGTCCGCAACGTGATAAACCAAATTGGAACCCTTCTATAACTCTTTTCCTGCCATTCGTAGAACTATGATAAGAAAGAACTGATGAAAATTGCGCTGCCCATTGCCGTGCAGTTCCTGCCCAAGGGCAACAAGGAGCTGTCGCGGAATTTAGCCAGCTACCTGTCCCTGGCCGCCATCGACTATGCCTATTTGCTGATAGACTTCATGGATCCCATCATGGATTCCATACTCTCCGGCAATTATGGCCTGCTGCGCGTGCTCTCCCAGGTGTACGAGGTGTCCCCGGAGACGGTGACGCCGCACGCGCCGCTGCTCATTCCACTGCTGCCCCAATGCGACGCCCAGGAGCGCATGGCAGTCTTTCAGCTCTATTTGCTGATTGTGCAGAAGTCGCCGGCAGTGCTGGAGTCGTGTGTGCCGCAGCTATGTGACTTCCTCCAAGACAGCGACACCTCCAACATCACCATGCAAATCCTACTCAAGCTGGCGCAGCATGCTCCTCACCTGCTGGTCGAGCACTTCGATCAGCTGCGTCTGGCTGCAAAGACTAATCCCAGCACCGTAACGCTGTGCGCCCAGATACTGACCACGTCCGGCATTGGCAGCAAGGAGACGGCGCAACAGGCACTGGACTTTGTGCTCGAGCATCTGCCCACCCAGGCGCTGCTGCAGCAGGAGGCGACGCGACTCTGCTCCGCCTATCCCGTGCTCTTCACGGACAAGGTGCTCGCCTGTGTGCGTCAGAAGAATGCGGCGCTCAGCTCCCAGCATGACGTGGGCAATGCCGCGGGCAACAAGATCTCTGGCGGTGTCACCATTGTAAGCCTCAACAGCAGCACCAGTCCCAGCTCCAGCCCCAGCGCCAGCACCAGCACACAGATCAAGCCAGGTAAGGCACCTACACTTCAATCCCTTCAGTTAAATCTCCATTGACTGCCCTGCACGTTACAGCTCCTACTGCTACGCCCGCCAGCAGCAGCTCCAACATTGTGCCGCAGCCGAACGCGGTTAACGCCACGCTCGCCACGCCCAGTGCGGCGCCCGCGCCGGTGGCCACCTCAACGCCAGCGGCTGTGCCCGTTGCCACGGCCACGCCCACACCTCCGCATACGGGCTACACGCGACGCGTTAAGCTGGGCGACTCCCGCAGCACTGGACGCCTGCATCCCGCGAGCAATACACACAGAAGCGTCACCCGGCTCAACGTGGCCAGCGGCTCCGTTGGAGGTCTGCACAAGAGCATGACGCGTCTGAGCAACTCACAAATCAATCAACAGCCTGGCGGCAGCTCCAATAGCAACGTTGTGGTTCAGACGGGCGCCATGCCCAAGACGCCGACGTCGCCAAGTAATCCGCCCGTGACGCCGGTGCCGCCGCTAAGCAACGATGTGATCATCACCGGGCACAATAAGCACGGCATACCGGTGACCTCGGGCGGTGTCACAGTCACCACGTCGCCGTCCAAGGTGCGTCCGCATTCGCAGGGACCCTCTACGCTGCTCAACTCCAGCACGGTGCTGATGAAATACAGCACAGATGCACTGAATCAATCCGTCGGCTCCATATCCATACCGCAATCCGTGGCAGCCTCGACAGCAGCAGCAGCTGCTGCGGCGGCGGCGAGTGCTGCGAACGCAGTCTCCGTGCATCATGCATCGCCAGCTGTGCCGCAATCCTCCAGCAATGGCAATGCCAAGTCCGTCATGAAGCTACCCGTAAATGGCAATGTACCTAAAACCCAAACCAGTTCCTCTTCACATCTGTTGTTAAACTCTTCCTTTCCCATGCAGAGCGAGGTGATCGTCTCGGGTCCCACAACCACCACCAATGTGGCGCCGCGGCGCAGCGACAACACCAGCCGCACCCTGCTGAATGCCAACAGCGTGATGGATCAGCGCATGAGCACCTTCGAGCCATATCAGATAATGCGTGATCCCGTGCAGCAGTTCTGCGAGAAGAACTTTATCTCGATCAAGTCATACATGGACGAGGTGTCGCAGCACCTACCGCCACCGACGCGCTGCAGCATTGAGGGTGAGTCTGTCCATTAAATTATGCTCCTCTCAATTACTTATTCTCCCCGCCGTTCTCCACTGTGCTCTCTTGTTCACCTACACACCTGTTCTCTCAATCACTACTTCATCCCACACACACACACATCACACAGTTTCCAATGAATTTGCAGAGCGCCGGAAGAAGGTGGCCAAGCTGCATTTCGCCTGCCAGATACGTGGACCTCATTGCCTATACTCCAAGACGTGCTTTACGATGCGCACACGCAATCCCAAGACCTGGATACACATGATATTCCTTGACTTTCAAGTGCGACACTTTGTAAGTGACAACCCGGATCTCCAAGGGATATTTCCACTAACGGACTTTCCTGTGATTCCTTTAGGTCAAGGAGAAATGTGTGCTCAGCACTCGAGAGCCGGGCATCAGCAACCTGAAGAATATCTGGCAGATACTCAAGTGCGAGAATCGCAGCTTCACCGAGCTGGTCACCAGTCAGTTTCCCCAGGTCAAGGTAGGTCGAGAATATATACAAATATAAATATTTGGCTCAACTCATTTGACACCTTCCGTAGGACCGCGAGATACTTGTGAATGAGCTGCGTCATTCGGGCTTTCTGGATGTGTTCGAGGTGTCCAAGACGGACAAGTCCAATCCCAATTGCAATGAGCTGGAGTATCAGTGGGGCTGCTTTCTGTGCAATCATCCGGACAAGGCGGTGGGCTTTCTGAACGGCAGCAATCAGCCCATGATTGAGGGTCAGCTGAAGGAGAAGAAGGGCAAGTGGCGACTATTTAGGCGCTGGCGCACACGCTACTTTACGCTCTCGGGCGCACATCTGTCCTGCAAGGGATCCGTAAGTATCCAAAACAAATCCCTGGAAATAACAACCTACTAATTGCCAAGCGATTTTCAGAGCGGCGGCGAGAGCATCGATGTGAATCAAATACGCTCCGTTAAGGTTTCACGCGGCGCACGCAACATACCGAAGGCCTTTGAGATCTTCACGGCCGATCAGACCCTAATACTCAAGCCCAAGGATGGCAAAAACGCCGAGGAATGGGTGCAGTGCCTCAGCATTGTGGTCGCCCACTCGCAGGCGCGCGACAATCCCACGGTGAAGACAAACAGCCTGCCCGCACGCAGCATTGGCAGCAGCAAACCCTCCTTTTAGCTGGCAAGGAATCCCCAGCCCTATCCCTATCCCTATGCCTATGCCGATCCCTCACCCAACCTGAACCTACATTGTGAGATTATTTGTAATTGTAAAGACCACAAACACACACATAAAAGACAAACGCGGCGGCCGCAACTTATAGCTGTCTATATATATACAAACATACATACATATATATACACATATATACCATATACGAGTACATGTTATATATATATGCCCATACTTATAGACTTATATCTAGCATATAGTACCATACCAATTCAAGGGATTTTACAAAAATTGTGCGAAATTGTTTTTTCAAAATTAGTTAACTTTTTTTTACATTTAGTTTATGCTTATTTATTGTACGTGTATTATACAAACAACTTTCTATCGAAACAAAATCAAAAACAAATCGTCTTTTAATCAGTTAGCCACGCCCCAAATGCTGCCTTCTAACAATTTTAATAATACATTTCAAATGCATGGCACAAAATGCAGGCTGTTGCCTTTTGCCTAAGTGTATGCAACACAAATCTGACGGAGCGCTCGAAAGTAGGCAGCGGGAGTTCGGACAGAAATTAAATTAAACTCTTTTGATACCCTTGTAGAGTAGCGTATGGTACTTTTGCCACAGAATGTGTAATGCCTTAAGCGAGAATATATATCTCGATCAGTTACAAGCGCCTGAATCGGATACTATATCATATAAATGACATGATTGATCAGAAATTTAAGTTCTTGTATAAGCAACTTTTAAGTTATTCAAGATATCTTGCCCAAACTTGGCATTGTCGAAGCTGCTTTAACTGTATGAGCAAAATCTCAGAAAGATCGAATATCAAAAAAGGAAGAATTGGCTAAAACATATCCGTCAAGTTATCTCAGTTAGCCCAGCAACTACGAGTTTTACAATGCTTCCCACAAGCTTTCCCATCTGACTTCTCTAGGCTGACCTCGCTTAAATATAAAGCCTATCTACAAAGGTATTTACTTTTCGACTTGCCAAAAATATCTATTCTTCCCAATTAGCTTTTGCATAATTCTAGCACAAAACATTAAGATATTTTTGAAAAAAATTGAGATTTGAAATAGTTCTAATTAGATTATCCTATTTGATTAATGGCTTTCCAATAGCAAAATAAACTGCGGCTTTAGTTGCCTCGAGCTGGACGCTAACGTTTCTAACTACGTGGAATTGAACAACTTTTAAGTACTAATAGGTAACTAGATAATTAACAACAATTTGACACAATTCAAGACCTGGACGTGGGCACATCCGCTTCATTCGCATTGTGATCCCGCTCCTCGTTCAGCTCCAACAGCTGCGTCCAGTTGGCATTGAGACGCACGATTTCCATGTCCCGACGCAGCTGCTGCAGTGGCGTATGATCTTCTAGGCACTGACAGTCGTCCAGGACGCGCGTCACATGCTCCAATTGGTTGGCATAGATGCGCAGACGTTCCACATAGTTGTTTTCCTGATGCGGCAGAGTGTTGACCTGGTCGGTGAATGAATGATGATGATTATATGTTGGATATCAATAAGAAGAGAAAGTCCCAAATCACCGTCAGCTGATTGCCGCAAACGCTGCGCAAATAGCTGCTGACACGCGCATCCTGCAGCTGTCCGTCCGTATGCCACATCTTCAATAGATTCAAAATGCCCAAGACGTCGCCCTGCTCGGGCGCCTGGTTGGGCGACAGCAGCTGCATGGGCGGAAACTCTGTGGTGGGCGACAGTTTCTTGTAGCTGCTGCAGAGTGTGCTCAGCGTGCAGATATCCTCATTAAGTCGCTGTCAGAAACAGCAGCAGGCAAAAGCAGCAAGTGAAGCAGGAATAGGTGAAGTACCAGCAACAGCATCAGGAGCAGGAGCAGTATTAGGGGCGTTATGGCAATTAGTAAAACGGATTTCAATTGAAACGAAAGAGTGCGTTTTTGAACTTGATTTGTGACTGTCCGTTGATGAATACGAATGAGGTGTACAAATGGTTGGCATGAGAAACAAAGTACAAGAAATTATACAGATAGATGACAAAATCTGATCAGATCGATGCAATGCATCGACTCAAATATAAATATAAATAAGGCCAAGAGTTCTGTTTATTCTAAATCAAATAATAGATGTGACTAAAAGTACGATTAAAATAAGATAAGATCGGCTGCATCGGCTGCGCGTGCTTAACATATGATTATATATCTGGCGACTAAACGATAAACGATATATAGAAATGTCTTCGAAGGGTGCGCAACACAACAAAAAAAAAGTAATGTCCAAGAATAATTCGTTTACTAGAGAACGTGGCTAAAACCTTACGTCGATTTCGTTGCGATGTCGCTGCATTTCGGCCTTGGCGCCGCTCAGATCGCTGCCCTTGATCATCAGCTCCTGGGTGGCGTCCATGAGCTCGTCCTGCAGCTTCAGATTGACATCCTCCAAGTCTTTTAGCTTCTCCAGCATATCCTCCTTATGCTGTTGCAGTTTGTTTCTGTAAGAGCATTAAATTCCAGCGTGAATCGAACTTCTCGGATCCCATTGTAATCCACTCACTTGTCCAGGATCAGCTGCTGTATGCAATTGTCGTTGTCCAGCTGCACAAGTCGCAGCACCTTCAGCAGCTTGGTTACCAGCGTGTCCACCTCAATGACCTGATCGACCACCGCCTGCGCCGTGCTGTACTCCATCAACGAGGGTAACTCGGCCAACGAGTCATGACAGCTGAGCTCCTCCGTGTTGCACTGATCGCGATTGCTGCTTGGACCATACGGAAAAAATCGTTAATCATTCCAAAACTATTGACGTATTTCCAAATTATCCAAACTATCCAAATTCCCTTTAAAAGAATCGTAATATCTCAACTGCAACATATATCCGGCTCTATTATTTCACTTTCCAAACATGGGGGATGAACCCTAGTGTTTGATGGTTTAAGGAATATAATCCAGAACGTTTATTACTCCTTATTGCTTCCAAAATGATTCCTATTCCCTATCCTTTTCTCTTTCCTCGATATGGTGTCACTCTCGAGTATTGATGTGTGTTGATGATGTTGTGTTTTACATATGGGAATTAGGGTTATGGGGTCATCTATTACAAGACGACGTGAATGGTCTATGGAGTTTGACGATCCGTTCACAAGAAAGATCCTTTTAAAATCTCTGATACGATCTATCCTTGAGCATGCCTCGTGTGTATGGTCGCCATAATAATCCAAAAACGAAAACAGAATTGAATCTGTACAAAAATTCTTGTTTTTTGTTCTACGAGGATTAAGCTGGGATCCTTGTGTGCGGTTACCGTCATACTCCAGTAGACATTTGATGATTTATCTTCCGTTTTTAATTAAACTGGGCTTACTGGCCAATTAAAACTTCACTTCCCTACTAGGTGAACACATATCGCTTAAATTTTGTTTAACTAACTATGCCCCGCATGAACCGTTTTAGGTCCTCTGTGATAATGACAACAAACATTACAGAGATTGCTGCGCAGAGTCTGTTCGAAACAATTTAGCAAGAGATAGTCTAAGCCCCTTTAGTCTTAGTTTGCATTTGACATTGGCCTCGCTATGTAAAGCGGGAGGTGGGATGCAGTACATTGAATCGGGACCAGTTTGCAGAAGTGAAAGGTTTTTGGATGGTAAATTGTGCAGCTTACCTGTTGGGCAGCACGCTGAGCTTGTGTACGTGTAGTTCCATCTGCTGTCGGTTGGTGATGGCCTGTGACAGCTGTTGCAGTGAATCATCGCCTTGAGCTGCAGCTGCAGCTGGCTGTTGCTGGCTGCACTGGCTGACCAGCTCCGTGGGCAGCTCGATTTGAGAGATCATGCCCGTGCAGGAGGAAACCATGTTGTGTGAGTGCGAATCCGGCTGCACCACATCCTCGAGCACATTATCCATCATGAGAAGGCAAGGCTGCAAGCAACAATAAATATGTGTGAGCACGTAAATTTACAGATCGATTGCAGCTTCACTTACCTCCGTTTCAGAGTCTAGCATCTCCGTGGAATCGGAATCGTCTGCGAAGCAGAATATAAGATTGTTATTATATAGATTACATATGGTTATCAGCGGCTCACCTCCATTGCCATTATGATTGGCCGGTTCGTTGCTGTTGAGCATTGTCGTGGCATGTGCTGCGCCTGCGACTGCTCCCGAGCCTGCCGCTTGGCCATGCCGTTTGCCCGCCTGCCGCAGCGAGAGGCGCTTGCCCGAATGGGTGGTGGCCTGGCGTATGGCACCAATGACGGCGGCTATAAAGGACTGATTGCGTTGCGGCGACAGCGAACCGTCGCTGGCCAGGACCAAGGTGTGCAGGGCATCGCCTGGCAACGCTGGACTGAGAGGCAAATCCAAACCGTTGGGTTTGTGGCCATTCTGGGCGTGCTCCGTTTCCGCGGCTAGCGACTCCGCCTGGAAACGTGTGTCCTGCGAGAGCAACTTTAGTTGAAGTCTTGGTCAAAATGGTAATCACAACTCACCTCCAAATCCTGCTCGGAAATGCTATAGGAGCACACCAGCTGCTCGACCAGACTGTCCAGCCGTGCATGCAGACCTGACAAGGCCGTCGAGGCGCCCGCCACAGCCGCATTCTGCTGATGTATCAGCTCCCGGGACTTGTTTTCTAGCGCCGCGTACTTGGTTTGCAGCAGGCGGTTCTCCTGGCGACGCTGTTCGTTGAGGCGCACCAGATGCCGACACTCGTCGCGCAACACCTTCGCCTCCTCTTCGCGATTGGCCAGCTGCGCCTTGGCCGCCAGATACTCCGTCTCCAGCTCACGCAGCGCATCGCACTGGGCGGCCTTTTCGTGTTGGAGAAAATCCTGCAGCTCGCTGGACTCCTGCTCAATGGCGGCCTTCTCCTGCAGCAGCAGCTGCTGCGTGGCCAGCGAGCGGCGCATCTCCTGCTGCAGTGCGCGGCACAGCTCGCGCAGCTGTCCAATCTCCTGCTGGCGCTCGATCAGCTCGTGGCCGCTCATCTGGATCTGTGACTCCAACATGAGCAGACTGTCATGGCCGCTGCCATCGCCACTGT